CAGAGAGAATTACAAAAGACTGTGTGTGTTGAGATGATACAGAGATTTGAGTTGCAGAAGTTCTATAGCAGGTAGTGGTAGTAAAATTGTAGGACTAGATGAAATCATCCAGGCAGAACTTCTTACAAGATATAAGTTGGTTTGAAACCCACTTAGCATCTGAAGGGAAGACCTGGGAACCCTAGAAACTGGAGGAGTTTAAGAAAACAAAATTAAGAGGGGAAGGAAGGGAAGAGGAGGAGGAGGGAGAAGAGGTGAAGAAGTGGAGGGAGCCGTGCTAACAGGGAAGGTAGAAGGAAATGCTTTGCTGTGCCAGGAGTTGTGTGGAGTGAGGGTAATGGAATGAAGGCTCCAAAGACCCTTTGGTTTAACAGTTAAAAGTCTAGCAAGGTAGGGTCTCTTGAAACATATTAAAGAGTAACCTTTCTCTTTGCTGAAATTGGAGTGGATTTTTTGTTTAGATTCACAGAGCTAGTTTAGACACAAACAAAGAATTGAATACTTTTCTGGAGTAGATATATTACACCTGTGTACTTTCATTGCATTAATAGAACATAATTTATTTTTAACTTACCTTTTGTTAACTTTACAGTCGACTTTAGCTTTTAATATAAGTGTTTTTCAGTGATGTCAATTAGGAGGATTCCTTGTATCTGGTTTGTATGCAGTGATGGTAACATTAACTTTATTTTGCTGTTTTTTTCTTCTTCCAAGAAGATACACAGAATGGTAACTTGAGTGAGAGTTTAACCTTGTTTAGAGGATGTTCTTGAGTGTACTTTATTCAGAGTACAAATAAACCAATCTGAGGTGTCAGTACTTTCATTAATGCTTTATTTTTGACATATTTCAAGTGTTGTTTCTCAGTGTGATGGTCTGAACTTTTTGATTGTTTCTACCTTTTTATTGATATTTAATTTTAGCTAGGGCCTGTGTCGTGTTTTTGTTTTACAATTAGCTCTTTTTTATGGTTTCAGTTGTTCACAGTTCACAGCTTGCTACACTTGCTTTTTATTTATCCTGGTATTTCCCATTGATGCCTCTTTAGTTACTTTAGTCTATGATCTTCGGTTTTCTGGTCACTCAGCGAATATTGATCAGATAATCCTTTTCACACATTCTTTCTAGGTTACATGGTATAATTTAGGTGAACATGATTGGCAAAATACTTGGTTCATAATTTTTTAGCAAATGTTTTCAGGTGCTGTAACTTCATACAGTGATTCAGATTCTACTGACATGTACTCTACTGTATATCATTAGTGTTGTTAAAAATGAAGGCTGGGGATGTAACTCATGAGTAGAGCTTGCGCTTTAGTAGGTACATGGCCCTAATAGCATAAGTGTGTAGCATCCAACAACGGAAAAAGAAATGTGGTTAATTCACTGGATGCTATGCAGAAAGTAAACCTGGCCTACATCCTTGTGTATTATAGCATCACTCTGAGATTTTGGAGATTACTGTAATTGTGTGTATGTCTGGAACAATCATTTTCTTCATGGCACTGCTTGGGTCTTGGATCTTTGTTATGTTTAAGATTAGCTGATTTGGAACTGTCATGTATTTGTTGAATGAACTCTGCAATTAAGACTAAAAGATTTATTCTCTCTCCAGTGCCATATTTTATGTATAAATTTGTTTTGTTTTTGCTATGAATAGTTCATTGTTCTTGAACAAAGGGCTTTTTTGTGGTGTGGGGGATCAAATCAAGGACCTGGCCGATAGTACTATCTATTATATGATCTTTATCTTACTGTTAGGAAACTTAGAATTTAGTTGACAAAGTAAGGCTGAGGTGCCCTAGCACTTAGTAATTTTGTAGTACATGGTTGCACATCTGATAATCTTTAATTTCCAAAGATTTAGATCCCTGCGTTTTAATAACTCTAGTTTTGGTAGCTGTCTGTCTGGTTAATGTTTCATTATTTGACACTTAAGTCCAATAGACTAGATCTGTAAAATGTCCTTACTTGCTGTAAGTAAATTGGAGCCTATTGTTATTATTTACAAAGGGCTTACTTGGCAATTTTAATGTTTGTTGCTCTTCCATTAAGTAAATGTCAACATTTTTTTCAAAATACTGTTACAAAAGAAAGTACTTCTGTTGCTAGGTAGACAAATTAATATTTCAGTGGTACAGTGGATTTCTGTTTTTAATGTAAATTAATTCCCTAAATGTGTGTCACATTAAATAAGATTGTACTACAATGAACAAAAATATGAAGAAATGTATTGATAAGCACAGTCCGGCTTTCAAAGTGTTTTAATTTTTTTCACTTGCATTTCTGAAGGAGGGTCAGTTTTGACTTCACATTTCAATTAACACTCAGCCAAAAAAAAAAAAGTCATCCCTTGATACAGAATACTTTTAATATCATTGAAATTTCTGGAAACCTGAAATATTAAAATGTCAAGTCTTACATTTAACTCTTAGGATGTGAGAAACTGTTGTTTTCAAAACTATTTAAAATTTAGAGCAGCATTACTAGAGCTGAGTTTTTAAGACAAAGCAGACAGATGGTTTGTTGAAATTTTCTTTTTTACTACAGAAAAGTTACAAACACTTGTAGAATGACAAGTATTACAGTGAAATAATTTGACAGTATTGCACTTGTGTATATAAATGAGTTAGTGACAAAAACAAATTGCCTACAGTATAAATTCAAAATTTGAACTGAAGAGCCCAAAGGGAATAATTTTCCTGTATTTCATATTATCAATATGTTGATCGTATATTTAGAGACTTATGTAGTATATCAACTGGAAAGAGTTAATAGTGGTATAAAACGGAACAATTTATTGCCAGTGTCTGCTCATTTGATGGGCTGATTATCTGTATTGCTGATTACCCACCTTTACTGTTAGAATGGAGTTTCTTCAGGTTTCTTAAAAACCTGTGTTAAAAATGTGGTTGTGAAGGAGAGGAGTGAATTTAGAACGTGAGGGTAAAGATAAGGAATGGAGTGGTAGCTGATGGCTTGATTATGCAGGGCCCTGGGATTTTAGGGATTTTTTGATTTACTCTGAATAGAAATGAATACTTGGAAGCGTTTTAAGCAGAATGGATACCATATTTAGAAGGTAGTCTGTGACTCAAGTGCCAGTTGTATGACTGATACATTTTAACAGCTTCAAAGTAAATTATAGAAATAATTTATTGGCTCAATAAATAGGCAAGTGTTCTACATGTAGGCAGATTTTGATACTGAGCATTAAGTAGTGAGGCTTGTATTCTACTGAGAGGAAGATAGTAGACAAGCCAATGTGTGGTCATCTGCTATAAGAAAAGTAAAGCTCAGGGTGGGATGAGGAAAGGGAAGAAGGATGGGATTATGGTTTGGGTTGAGTTGGAGTTTGTATGGGGTCAGGAGAAGATCTTGAGCAACTTGACTCATACTTAAAGGAGGTGAGGGAGGGGCATAGATGGAATTCATGCTGGCTCACAAGGAATAGCAAGTGCTGAGGCCCAGAGGCAGAAAAATATTTGATCAGTAGGACTGCCAGTGTGGCTGAAGTAAACAAAGGAGGACTGGTAAATTAGTAGTCCTTTAGGTCAGAAAGGGTAAAAGATGGGGAGCAAGATGGGAGCCAGTTTGTAAGGACTTTGATTTTATCCTGAGTGATAAGGGATGGCAACCGAGAGTTGGAGTTGAGTGAAATTACCCTAGATACCTTTTTTTTTTAAATTTTATTTAAAAGGAAAAAGAGAAAAAACAAAACAAAGCGGTGTAAGGGTACAAGTAATACAGAACTACCAAAAAAAAAAAAAAACAGTAAGAAATCACCAGTTAATAGATTACATATTATCATCTTAGAGATAGTTGCTCAAGTCACAGTATCAAAGCATACAAAGTGGACATTCAAACAGTGAGACTGCAAACAGTTGTGTTCAATGATCCAACCAAAAACATTAATATGGTCATCTGTATAACACCCCTAAACACACTTGCTGTATCTTTTAGAGCACTTTTTTTCCTTCTCTTTTTTACAACAAAATTTACACATTTTGGGTTTTATTACTCCTTAGTTCTTATTACTTTTTTTTTTTTAAGGAAAAGAATAAAGTCAAATATGGCAAAACAAAGCTATTGGTCAAAACCAAGGATAGACATAGCACATGATGTAAAAACAGAGTACAAGGTTATCAACAATGGTTACCATAATGTCTCTTGTTTCCTTAAAAAGAATTGTCTATCTCATTAGGTATTATAAAGTTGAACAAAACAGTAGAGAACAAGACCAATAAAACTTAAGCATTGTAAACATTACAGGACTTCCAAAGGAGACAATAGTCAAACCAGAATGGGCATCTTAGTGAATCTTATTGCCTTCAAAGTAGTTGCCTATACCCTCAAACTTGATACTATCATACAGAATGGAACAGAGTCTAATCAGTCAAAACAAAATAGTGGGAGTATTACAGGACTTCAAAACAAGTTAATAGGAAATCAAAAACAGTTACTATTATATATCCTGCTAATTTTTTAAAATTTTTTCCCCTTAATTAAAAAAACCATAAAAAATGACTAAATAATTTTTTTAATGAATAAGGGAGAGATTGAGATAAAAGAGGACATAACAATATAACAATACAGGTCAATGCATGACTGTTTCAGCAACCTAGTGCTTCACCACCAAATAACCCGACTTAATAGTAGTTACCATAGTGTCTGTCTTTTTCCTTGAAATATTTGAATAAAACTTCATACACTATAGCTTCAAATATTTCCATATCAAGAAGCCCAGAATAAAGCCTTTCTAATTAATAAGTGAAAACTTTATAAGGCTTCAAGGCCACATAATGGGGAATCATGATTATCACATATTTTTATATATTTGAATCATTACTTACATTAGGGAAACTATTCGGTATTCATACATGCGAGATTGATTTATTTCACTTATGAGTATGGTCTCAAGTTGCGCCCATTTATTGATAAATATCTCAATGTGATCCTTCTTTATAGCTGAGTAATACTCCATTGTATAGAAATACCACAAAAATATGGAATGCTTCACAAATTTGCGTGTCATCCTTGCGCAGGGGCCATGCTAATCTCTGTATCATTCCAGTTTTAATATATATGCTGCCGAAGCGAGCACTAGATACCTTTTAAAAGGACAGCTTTGAGCCAGGCACAGTGGCTCAGGTCTGTAAACTTTGCCTCCTGCTGAGGTAGAAGGATTGCAAGTTCAAGGACAATCTGGGCAATATACCAAGACTCTGTCTCAAAAGAAAGGGGGCTAGTTTTGATGTTTGGATGTACCCAAGAAAACAAGCAAAACATAAATTTAAAAAACCGCTTTGCCTCCTGAACTAGGAGTATATTGCAGATTGAAGCAGGGAGACTATTTTGCAGTAACCTAGGCAAGAGAAGATGATGATTATGCAGTACTGAGGCAATACTGATGGTAATAGAAGTATTTAAATTCTGGGTATGGTTTGAAGGTGGGGCCATGAGATTTGCTGATGGTTTGGATGTGCTTTGTAAAAGAAAAAGATGTTGAATTTAGGCACAAAGTCTGTTGCCTATGTAGCTGAGTGTTCAGAATTGCTATTGATGAAAATGAAGAAGATTGTACAAAGATACATACTTTTTTTTTAAGTGAGAAGGGGACCAGGAAGTTGGGCATGTTAAGCTTGAGTTGTTGCTAATAATACAAGTAGAGGTATTAAATAGGCAGTTGGTTATAGGAATCTGGAGTTTAAGGGAAGAGTCAGATTAGACATAGAAACTTGGAAGTTATCTATGATATTAAATACCATAAAGTTAGATGAGACATCAAGAGGGGGAGTGTAGAAAGAGAAGCCCTTCTGAGGCATTCCTGAAGTAATTGGGTCAGATAATACAAATCATCAGTCACATGGAGGACTTGGTAATGTTGCCAAACAATTTAGGTGCATCAGGCTGAGAGCCTGATGGGTTAGGTTCAAGAGAGAAACGAGAAGAAGAAGCATATATAGTATGTGTTCTAGTACAGAGAGCAAAGAAAACTGACCAGTACTTGAAGAGGAATGTTACACCAGGATATATATATATACATACATACATACACACACACACATACATTTTTTTTTAAGATGGGAGAAACTATTTTGTTTCCTGGCAGAACCATCTGATGTAGAGGAGGAAAAATTGATGGTGTATAGAGGAAAATCATTGAAATAATGTCCTTTCCTTGCAAAGAATTTACCTAGCACAGAGTAGCAATACAGAAGCTATCATTTTAAAACCCAGAATCAATTAACATGATGATCTTCTGTGTTTTTTTTTTTTTTATATATAATCATGTGTTGCCTTTTTAAAGAAAAGTTATTTTTTTTTTTTGGTATACTTTAGGTATACATAATGATCACATTCATCATAGGAAAGTTCTATCTGTATATAATGTTTATTGATTTTTTTCCTCACACCCTTCCCTTCCTTTTAACCCCCTCTAACCCATCTCATTTCTAAAAACTGTTTCCTATTTTTTCTTCTCCTATTTTTCTTTTTCATTTACCACTTCCCCTCCATTGTTCCCTTTCCCCTTTGAACATTTTTTTTTTTCTATTTCCCAATAGTTGACCTTCATTTTGGTCCTTAGTTATCCTTTCAGTTTCTCATTCAAGAGAAATAATGTGATATTTGAGCATGTGAGTTTGATTTATTTCACTTAAGATTATGGTCTCAAGGTGTATTCTTTTGCCTAAAAACCTCTCTTAAATCCTTATTTATGGTAGTGTAGCACTCCATTGTATATAAAAATTACATCTTTATCCATTTGCATCTGGGCTGTTTCTAGTGTTTAGCTACTATAGATTGTGCTGCTATAAAAATGGATGTGCATATATTTCTGTGGTATGAGGCTTTTAATTTTTTAATTTTATGAAAAAAAGATAAAGCAAAATTTAATAACAATAGTAGAATACCAATAGATAATATGTTACATTTTATCTGTAAAGTAGTTGTTCAGGATACAAGATATGGGCATAAAAATTTCTCCAGTTGATATTAGTACAAATCTTCCTTTTTAATGAACTGAGAGACACTAATAGAATAACTGGCTTTCATATTTTCCCTTTTTCCTACTGTTCTTTCCTTTTTCATCTAGAATAGTTCTTTTTTCCTTTGAATAGTTTTCTTCCCATTTCACAATATCTATTGTACATTTTGGATTCTTGTTTACTCTTTCAGTTTCTCATAACCAGGGAGATAATACAGTGTTTACATATGTGTATCTGGTCTGTTTCACTTAGAAATATGGTCTCAAGTTGTACCCATTTATTTATAAAAGTCTCAAGTTTATGCTTCCTGATAACTAACTGAGTAGTGTTCCATTGTATAAAAAAGACCACATCTTTTTTATTCATTCCTCAGTTGATGGGCACTTGGGAATCTCCACATTGGTTTCCATAGTGGTTACACTACTTACTCTATTCCAATTTTCTGTAGAGCTTTAAAATCATAAACAGGTGCTGGACTTTGTCAAAAGCTTTTCTTGCATCTGTTGTGATGATTATGTGATTTTTGTCCTTGGCTCTGTTAATGTGATATATTACATTTATGGATTTATGTTTACATGTGTTGAACCATCCCTACATTCCTGGGATGAATCCCACTTGATCATAATCTGTAATCTTGATGATTTGCTGCAGTCTGTTTGCCAGTATCTTATTTAGGATTTTTACATCAATGTTCATTAGGGAAGTTGGCTTATAATTCTTTTTTTCGGTTGGGTCTTTCTCTGATTTTGGTATCAGGTTAATGCTTGCTTTGAGGATTGATTTTGGAAGTATTGCTTCCTTTTCAGTTTCATTTAAGAGTTTGAGAAGTAGTGGTGTTAAGTCTTCACTAAATTTCTTGTAGAATTAAGCAATGAATCTGTTAAGGACTGGGCTTTTGTTTGTAGGTAGGTTTTAATTACATCTTCGATTTCATTCACTGATACTTATTTAGGATTTTACATCATCTTGATTCAGGTTTGCTAACTCACATGTATCTTGGAATCTGTCTATTTCTTCTGTATTTTCCATGTTATTGGAATACAGGTTTTCAAAGTAGGTATAGAAGATCTGGATTTATGCATAGTCTGTTGTGATTTAACCCCTTTCATTCCTAATTGCGTGGATTTCAGTCATTTCTTTCCTTTCTTTGATAAGGTTGGCTAAAGGTTTGTGAATTTTATTTAATCTTTCAATGAATCAACACTTTGATTCATTGCTTCTTTTTTTTATTACTTTTTTTTTTTTTTTTATCGGTACTGGGGATCAAACTCATGACCGCCTGCTTGCAAGGCAGGTTCTTACACTGTTGAGCTAAATCCCCAGCCCCGATTCATTGCTTCTTTGTACTTTTTTTTTAGTTCTCAGTGCATTAATTTCTGCTTTGAGATTAATAATTTCCTCCTTTATATGAGCTTTTGGATTAGCTTGCTCTTCTTTTTCCAGAAGTTTGAGGTTCAACATTAAGTTGTTTATGTGCATTTGTTCTATTTTACTGTTATGGTTATTTACTGAGATAAATTTCCCTTTTAAGTCTGCTTTTATTGTGTCCCTCAAGTTCCAATATGTTGTTTTGTTATCACTCAGCTGTAAAAAGTAATTTCTTCTTTATCTGTGACCCACTTGGTTGTTCAGGAGGTACTATTTAATTTCCATGTGTTTATGAAATTTTTGTGGTTTCTTTTGCATGGATTTCCAATTTCATTACACTGTGGTCTGATAGTATACATGGAATAATTTCAATTCCAGTGTATTGCTTAATCATGTACTATGAGTCATTATACGTTCTATTTTGGAGAGCACTGTGTACCTGAGAAGAATGCATATTCTGATGTAGGGTAGAACACTACAGGTATCTACTAAGTATACTTGTTCAAAATTTAAGTCTAATATTTCATTATTGATTTTTTTTGGCGTCATGTCGGTCTGTGTTTTTGTGACAGTGGAGAATTGATGTCTTCCAACAGAATTGCATCAGGGATTGTTTGATTTTTATATCCATTATTAATTGTTTTACATGGCTGGGTGCACTGGTATTTGTTGCGTATATATTTAATGTGTGTTTTCTCTGGGACCGTTGCCTGTACTAGGATATGACCTTCTTTATCTGCTTTAGTCAGTCTTGGCGTGAAATTCAGTTTGTCAGCAAATAGAACAGATATCCATACTTTTTTCTGGTTTCTCATCGCATGGGGTATTGCTTTCCATCCTTTTACCTACAGTTTTCTGAGTTTCTTTTTGAATTAAATGTGTTTCTTTTATGTAGCACATTGGATTTTGCTTCTTGATCCATTCTGCTAGTCTGTGTCTTTTGACTGGTGAATTGAGACCATTAATATATGATTATAACTGAAATGAATTGATTTATCCTTGTCATGTTATTTTCTAGTTGTTGACTCTGACCTTTCTTTTTTTCTTTCCCTGTAGTTGTTTGCTTTCTATGGAGAGTTCCTACTGTTGGAGTTCATAAGGCTGTAGATCTTATTATCTCTTTCTGAAATGTCCTTCAGATCATTTTAGAATACTGGTTTGGTGATCATAAATTTCCTCAGATGCTTTTTGTCATGGAAATATTTTATTTCTGCATGAAGTTTGAAAGATAGTTTTGTGGGGTATATCAGTCTGGGTTGAAAATTGTTTTCCTTTGAAACTTGAGGTACGTCACTCCAAGCCCTCCTTACTTAAGGATTTGTGCCGAGAAGCCAGCTGTCATTCTGATGGGCTTCCCTTTATAGGTGATTTGTTTCTTTTCTCTAAGAGCTTTTTGGATTCTATTCTTATGTTGAATTTCTGGAATCCTGACTATAATATGCCTGGTCGTAGATTTTTTTTGATCATTGCTAGTTGGAATTGTACATATCTTGTTTATCCTTATAAGTTGTTTTTCTCTACCAGGAAAGGCTTCTGTTATGATTTCTGCAAATATTTTTTAATGTCACTTTTGGTATTTCCTGCTTGTTCATTGACTCCAGTTAACCTTAAGTTGTTCTCTTTTTTTTGTCTCATTTATCAGCTAGCTGCTGGATCGATTTCTTATGGTCCTTTGCAAGTTTCGAGAAATCTTTCTTTTCCTAGTCGCTAACTGCAAGCCCGTTTTCAATATCTGAGATCCTCACAT